CGCCGCCTTGACGCGCCGCCGCACGACCGCCACCTGCGCCGCCTCGCCCAGGCCGCACTGGGCCAGCGCCACCTCCAGCGTCAGCGGCAAGGAGCTCTGGTGCCGCAGAGGCCGGTCCCCACGGCCCACGCCGCACACCACCTGGGCAGGGGGCGGCTCAGGGGGCTGGCCCAGGAGGAGTCCTCCCAGGACTACGCCCCCCTTCGCCCCATGCACACAGCCCCCTGTGCCAAGATCCAGGCTGGACCCCTTACTGGACATTCAAGAAGCCCCGCCCTCCAATGTGACTTAAACTCCACGAACCACCCTCCCCTGCCACTGCCCATCTGGTCCCTAGACCCCTGGGTCTACCCAGGCTTCCAGGCCCAGCTGGGGTATCTGCTCCCGGAGGGCTCCAAGCATGCTTGCTCCTGGCTCCTGGAGCCCAGGAGGCCTGTGCCACCCTGGTGTGCCCCAGCCCTAGAGCTCCCTGAGGGCAGGGTTGAGTCTCCCTTTCAGCTTGGCCCAGAGCTGTGTACCCAGGATGGTCCCCAAGCCTCCCTGAGCTCCCCAGCTTGGAGGCCCCTCCTAAAGGGATCCAGGCACTGGAGGTTTATCAGGGACCCTGGGTCAGTCTCTTCTATAGGCAAGAGCGCCCTGGGAAGAGGATTCAGCCCTGGGCCCTGGTACCCAGCATGGGGTACCAGGCAAGGCTTCTGATGTGGGAGGGGTGCAGGAAGGGTTGGAGGGGAGGGAAAAAGTGTCAGACCCAAGAGTCCTCCCAGAGGCAACCAAGATCCCCTCAAAGATTTTGTCCTCTCTCTCCCTAGGGGCCCACATCAGCTCAGTGGGGCTGGGCTGGGGTGTGGCAACAATCACCTTGCTCAGCAGGGGCCTGTCGCCCTGTGTCCGACACACCACAGCACACATACGCACAGCCAGCTCAGGGCCGGGTGGGGGACTACCTGGGGGAAGACAGTGAGGCCTGAGCCTAGCACAGAGCAGCCAGGAGGCTGAGCCGAGCTCCCATCCCTGGCTGGTCCAGGTGGCTCTCACCTGGGAAGGGCAGCCGGGCAGGTGGGCACACAGCCTCCACCAGGACACTCTCCTCCTCCTCCAGTTTCTCCAGCAACGCCAGCACCGTGTCCACTACTGTACCTAGCTCTGCTCGTGGGTACAAACGCAATGCCTGCCGCCCCCGCCAGCGCCAGCCGCTGAGCTTCACGGCCACCTGCAACGGGGAGCGGAAGAGGCCTCCTCACCACCCCATGCACCTGCAGGCTGGGATGCTCATACCATAGGGGCCAACAAGTAAACTGAGGTAAGACGGCCCGGGACTGCCACAGGGCTCAAAGTGGGGGACAACTTTCCAGCAGGACTTGGTAGCCATCCTTGGGTCCCATCCTACTGGCATCTGCACAGCCGGCGGGAGCAGGAGCCTGTTACCTGCAGAGCATCACCCAGGGCCTCGGAGAGCAGAAAGGCCCCTACTTCCTCCTTCACCAGCATCTCCTGGCCCTCTTTGCCACTCAGCTCCACCAGCCGTAGTCCTGGGCTGGCATCCCCTCCCCGTAGCAGTACCGGTGGCTTGTAGGTGAAAGCCAGGGTAGCTGGCACGACCACACCACCCTGCTGAGCCAGCAATCGCCTCGTCAGCAGCCGGTCCTCCAGCAGCCGGGCCAGCTCAGCAGAGGCTCCCGTGGGGCAGGTCAGGTCGCGAGCAAGCTCTGCTGCCTCTCGATCCCGGCAGGACCCCAGCCCCAGGCCCGCCAGGAAGTAGGTGGCACGGCGTGGGGGGACAAAGTCATCCAGGAATGTCAGGCCCCCCGGGTGGAAGCTCACGGCCTTGGACACCAGCAGGGCCGCCTCGCCTGGCTGCTCTGGTGCTGGCACCTTCGTCAGCCAAGCAGGGGACAGGCAAAGGAGCATGTTTCCTGTGGGCAGAGAGAGGAGGGTTGCTGGCCAGGGAAGGCTTAATGCCCCCATGCCCTCCAACTCCAGCCTGGGCCCCTGGGTAGCGGGGGGCAGCTGCTCCCAGAACCCACCCCCACTCAGAGCATGGCAGCTGGTCCAGTGGAATGCTGGCAGTTGCCAGAGTCGGCGGGTATTTTGGGATGTGGCCGGGCCAGGGCAGGACTGCCCTTTCTGTAGGGGGGGGTGGGGAACTTGGGCACACACTCACCCGGGCTCTGGACCCCACCCTCCAACAGCACGGACAGGAAGGTGCTGGGGGATCCTAGAATGCACAAGGTCACCTCGGCCCCAGGGCAGCCTCGGGGGAAGAGAACATTGCCAAGCTCACCAGGGGCTCCTCTGGCTGGCTCTCTGTCCACCTTTCCCCACCCCCACAGCCCTGCCCTCACCCTTGGGCCCCCAGGTCATTCCCAGTATGTTCCCTAACAGGACAGAGAGGAAGCTGGGGAGGGAAAGGGAAGCTGCCTGCCCATCTCTGCCCCAGGAGGCTGGCTCCCTTCTCTCTGAAGCTGGTCCAGAAGGCACTGGAGGCAGGGTGACTGGAGACCTGGGTTCTAGCCGGAGCTCTGCCACTTTCCATGTGACCCTTGGCCCCTGTGCAGTGGTGGTGGGGGGAGTCTCTGTGCCTTGGTTTCCCCGTCTGTACAATGGGGCCCAGTCTGTGATTTTTAGGTATTCTAGCTGTGAAACCTCTGTCCACATGAAATCTTGTGTGGCCCCCTGATATATAAGACAGGTAAAGCGGGGGAGGAGGCTTGGGTCCCAACTGCTAGCTGTCTCCACGGCAGCTCCCAAGACACTTCTAAAGAAGCTTTGGCTCCAAGAACATGGATTGCAAATCCCAGGGCTGGATCTTCTGGGGCTGGGAGGGAAGTCTCCATTTCTACTGGTGCCAGATGCCCTTGGGAACAATGTTTGCCTGCCTGAGGTTCACTAGCCTTGCCTCCCTGGCTTCAGACCGAGCCAGAGCCTGGGGGAAGGGGCCGATCTTGATAGGGATGGGAAGCAGGCTGGGCTGAGCGTTCCTTCCTCCCCCCAGGGGTGCCCCCCTCCGTGGAGCCCTCAGGCACCTGTGCGGGGCACCTGGCTGCGGTCCTGGGTCTCCGGTAGGCCAGCTTGCTGCAGACAGCTCTGCAGGAGGCTGTAGTAGTAGACAGTCCAGGCCTGGGCCTCCGCCACCTCGGGGGACCCCTTGCAGTCCAGGCCCACGTCATGGCGCCAGGAGCCAGGGAAGCAGCCTGGGGGCGGCAGGCCAGAGCCCCCTCCCCATGGGCCCTCCTCTTCCTCCAGGTCCTTGGAGCCCAGGGGGCAGTCCCACTCGGGACCCAGTGGATCCAGGGAGAGCTGAGGGGGGCAGAAGTGGTGGGTCTTGGGCAGGGTGGGCAAGGAGCACGTTAAGTCACCCAAGGGTGTAAGCCCCCCACTCTCCTAACCTTGGGTTATGTTCAGGGCAGATACTGTCCCAGGAACCAGGAGAGGATGGGGTTGGGTCGTGGGGTGAAGGCCTGTTACCAAGAACTTGTAGGTGGGAGTGCTTTGTAAACTGTGTGCAGTGCCCCAGGGGGTGGGGGCAGAAGGCAACGTGCTGCTGGCTGGACCACTGCCCCCCATCCCATGCCAGGGTCTGCCCGAGCTTGGTTCACAGGGGCAGAGGTTTTTATGAGTTTTGTTCACGGAGGCAGCCCCGGAACCTGAAACAGTGCATGCACACTGTAGCTGGTCAATCAGTCAATGTCTGTGGACTGAAGAATAAATGAACCAAGCAATCATTCTCAGGCCGCCCATTTCTCTCTGGCCTCGGTGACCCATCTGCCATCATGGAGTTCTGCTGAGACCTGATGCGTCTGTTCCGCTGTCACCTCCAAGTAGGCCCTGAGGACCTACTGTGCACCCAGCCCTGTGCCAAGCACTGGTAGGCAAAAAGCTGGAGCCCTTCTTTTCAGATGTTCTGAGTCAGGGAAATGCTTTCTTGGGATGAAATCTTACACCGCTGCCCCTCTCTGAGACTGGCTTGCTCCCATGTGGGGCTGCTCAGAGGCTCAGTGTGAACACACATGGGGACACAGGTGGGCCTGTCCTCCAGGGCACAGGCTGGGCCACCTTGGGCAAGTCATGGGACACCTGCCCTGTCCCACCCCAGGGTGCTGATGAGGCTTGGACCAAGAGAATCACCTTGGTCATCGGGAGACCGTGGGCTGTGGCCAGGAGGGCAGTGGTCTGGGCCTCAGACCTGGGCTCGAATCCCGGCTCACCAGTGCCAAACTCTGAGCTTCGGTGCCCTCTCTTAGAAGGTGAGTTCCCTGAGAGCCCAGGCTGTGGGTTCACTGCTGTGTCCCCAATCCCAGAATAGTGCCGTGCGCACAGTAGCTGCTCAGTAAATGTTGCAGAAGGAATGAATGCCAAAGGGTCCAACAGCGCCCACCTCCCAGGGCTGAAGGGGGAGAGATGGAGTGCGTGGCACACAATAGCTGCCTGTCCCATGGCACAAAGTGGGGAGTCGGGTGTGCGTGTTATGGGTCTGAGCTTCTGCACACAGCAGCCCCCCAGGGTTCCGCTTCTGGGTGCTGAGCCTGCCCCTGGGCCCTCCCTCGGACCAGGGGCTTGGGCCTTTTGGGGGAGGGACCAGAGGAGACTCACCATCTTACAGGTGAAGAGGCTGAGACACTGATGGCAGAGACAGAGGGAGAGAGACAAAGGAGGGAGTCAGGGCAGCCGGGGCTCTACCCCACCGCCCAGCCCCTAAGACTTTGGAGGCCAAGAGGTGGCCGCCTTGGTGCCTCTGTCCTGTCCCTGCCAGGAGGTGTCCAAGGCTGCCCCACCCCCACCCCGAGGAGCGGGAGGAATTTCTGCATCCCGGACCCCAAGGGTCTTGCACCCCGAGGTCACAAACCCCGGGGTGCGCCGGGCAGCGCCGGGGGTCCTGGCACTCAGCCCTTCCAGCGGGGGGCGCGCCGGGTCCCCGCCCGCATGTGGCAGGGAGCGGGTACTGTCGCGGGTCCCGCTGGGGGGCGCGGGCGCTCAAGGTCCCCGTCCCCGCGGCCCCTGCCCCCGCAGCCCCCCTCCCTGGCTCCCCCCG